TAGGTCATGACCTTATAATTGGAACACACAAGATAAATTAACAGAATTACAATTACTAAAGTTAAAATGACAATATAAAAAATAATAACAGTATATAAAAACATTTGAATTGGAACGTCTTTCAAAACTCAGGTGTACACACAAATGATTTTTATTGTATGATTAGAAATAGTCTCATCCCTGAGAGAACCATCCCAGAAAGATACTCAGTTTTACTTTCAGTATGGCTGCAGATTATGTAACTATTATAACAATATATTGATCTTACATAAAATATTATTTTATTGCGATTTAAAGCCTGATGCGATAGCGTTACGCCACATTGTCCTAAAACTGTTTGATTTTTCTTTGACAGGGAAACTGGGAAGAAGGGCTTGCTGCGATGGATAAAGCCATCAACGACATGCCACGTACTAGGCACCGTCTGTGAGTATTCTTACATCATACATCAAGCCATCATCTTCATCTTTCTTAGTCTTTAATCTTAAATCCATTATTAATCTTAGATCCATTTCTGAAGTCTTCTATGCTCAGGCCATGAAGTCTTCGGATCAACTGTCCCATGTTTACACATTTTTTTGCAATTCAAATCACTCTGACTTTATCCATAGTTGCCTTTATATTGTGCAATGAGGCCCTGGTAAAGAGAACCACCATCTTCATCATCATCATTGTCATCATTAGCAGCATCATGCTCATTATAATCATCATCATTGTTACCACCATCATCCATTACTATCATCATTATCATTATAATCATTATCAGTCGTCATCATCAATACTTATTGTGACCACCATCAGTATGATCAGTATCTTCATTTTTGACACTGTCCTTTTCATCATTATCATCATTCACCATTATCATTAATTTATTTCATCATCATCATCATCATCATCATCCACCACCACCATTTTCATCGTCATCATCATCATCATCATCATCATCATCATCAACATTTTCTCCTTCAGCTTCCTTATCTGCAATCATTAATTTTTCAAACATTACTTAAAGCTACAAAAGTAAATGCGGGTCCTTATTTTCTATGATTTTAGATTGATATTCAAGCATCGTGTGATGACCAAGGCTAAGCTGGGCCGCCAAGTTGAAATGGACTTGGCTAAGTTCAAGGTTTGATTAGATTTATGTATTTACACACATAGGCCCATGATTGCCTGTAGCATGTGTGTGAAAGCATCAAAACACAAAACAACATACACTTACGAGGCAGGACCAGTATACCTTTAATTTAAATTATCACTCAAAATCAATACAAATACATTGTAAATTGAATTTGTTTTTTCTAAACCACAATATAAACTATACGTACTTGCGAGGCTTATTTATTGGGGTTTAGAAAAAATTAATTTGGTTTCAATATTATATTCAAACCAGATGAAACTATTTCAACAATACAAATAATACAAATATAGACTATAGACAGACAGATAGAACCCCGTATACCAATAGACAGACAGATTGTCTGTCGGGAAAGTTGTGATCTTTCTGCATTTTTGTTTTCTTATTGTTTGTTACTTCTACACAGGATGAGAGTGAAGACTACGTAGCATTGATGTGGCATAAGGTGGCACTGTGTTCCAAAGATCAACTAGAGCAGCTGACTTCGCACCAGAATGCTATTGAAGCTCTAAAAGTACGTTGGGGTTGACAGATAATATAGGGGTATATAAAATAATGTAGGAGTAAGGGACTATATGTAGATAATTAAAGGGAAATATGAGAAATGGAGTTTAAGCTAGTGCCAGTGAAGTAGAAGCATTCAACACGGAAGTTTGCTCCTAACTGGGAGATGAGGAGGAGCACAAGATATATAATGTAGATAATTGAAGAAGGCTAGGCATCCAAACTTAGTATAGTATTTAAACTTTACAACTCTGCACTTCTCATGCAGTACATGTTCATAGTCTTTAAAAACAACTCTCTCTGCATCTATTCTTATTGTACCCTCTTTTCATACAAGACCTAAGAGGATAGAGCCTACTTGATTACTGCTCTTAAGACTGATTTGGGCAGATGACCTCAAGGGGAACAAGCACTAGCAGACAATTGGGGGACTCGGCTTGATATAAAACTGATGGGAATAAGCTTCGCAGCAGTGAAATGACATACTGTACATATCAAATGGACCTTTCAAACTTAAACTTAACAACTGACCAGTTAGAAGAAGGCTAGGAATTTGCATGTGTGCTACAAATACACGCATGTTTTCTCACAAATGTATGTGTGTGTATGTTTTCACACCTTCGTTTTGTGGAACCTTAGGAATAGTATCCATTCAAGTTTATGTTTAATTGTTTGCTTGGAGAAAATAAAAAAATTAAATTTATCTTTCATTATCTATTCTTTGTTGCAGTCTTCCACCAATGATTGGCAGAAGGTTGAGTACTTACTAAAGTTTGGTGAGTGGCTTTATGTAAATGAGTTTGGCATCCAGGACTGTGTTGACCAGGTTCAGTGGGCAGCTGATATCTTGCTCAATATGAAGATAGTGACCAGATCCAAGTTGGAACAAGGTAAATTACCAAAATGAGACAAATTCAATTATAATAAAATAGAACAAGGTTACTTGTTTTGTTCGACATTTTAACATCCAAAAAATCCATATCTTTAAACCTGAATTGAGTCAACTTGGTACAGAACTACAATGAAAGCTGACTGTTTTCAGATAGGAAAAACTTTTAACCAATCAGTTTACTCTATTTAAAGCAACTGGTATGGCGACCACATGTGCATCAAATGAAAATGGGTTTCATTATGTACCTGACATAGCCTGTGCATTATATGATTTAGGTTAGGATAAATTGTTATGTAGCCCACATTATAGATATGGGTTTAAGATAGGTATGGAGGCCCACATAGACCCATGCAATAAATATGTACAGTAAAACCTCGATTTTACGTACGGTACGGGACCGGAGGGTGTACATAAATCGGGCGATTCGCAAAATAGAGGTTGGGTTAAATTTGTGGTTACCTTTGACCTAATACATACGTAACGCTCATTAATAGGTGTGTATGAACGAACGATGTTACCTAGCTAGGCTAGACCTAGCCTCTAGGCCTACGAATAAAACCATGTGTTTAGTGTTTTTATTCATCACTTTACGATGTCATAATAAATTGTTCAAATAAAACCATGTGTATAGTGTATTAATTCATCACTTTATGTCTTTTATTTAACTAACGAACATGAAAATACCTATACAACAAAGGTGTAACTTGGGAATTCCCCTTCATGCCTATTCTAAACAACAGAGCTGTGGTGTTGTCTGGCCTGTTGAGACAAACTAAACCCATGTGCACTGGGCGAGCCAACCAATTAGCGTTCGTGTACGAAACTATGCCTACTCAGCTTCGTGTAGAAAATTAGACCAGACAAGTTTTTCCATGGTTTGCCACACGAACCTAGGGAGGAAAGCAATTATTTTGAGCACCATTGGTAGTTGTTCATCTCACTCAGTTCACGTGGTTTTAGATTATAACAACCTGGTATTAGACTCAATCAACATTGCTGTTTAATGAAAATACGTTGCATTTTATGGTTTGTTTATTGTTATAGTCTTTTTACTTATGGTTGCTCTGAAAAGGGCCATTTGTTTTGAATATTTTTGGGGTTTTTGATGACGTCATCGTCGATACGAGGCGTACGTAAAACCGAGGGTTCGTATAACTGGGGTACGTAAAAACGAGGTTCTATTGTATCAGTTTAGGAAAGGTATGAATGTACATTAATTGTCATGATTACCCATGCAGACCTGTTCTTGTCACAAAAATCAGTTTAATATGTATGCATGGATACCTTCATCATTTAAATATTTAGCACAGCATACATCAAGAACATTTTTTTAATGCTAAAAGTAAGCATTTTATCATGAATTTTAGCAAAATCAAAGAAGAAGAGGAAGGGTAAGAAATCTGGGACAACGATCTCTTCAGCAGCTCCAACTGATACGAAAAGATCAGAGGAGGATGTAAAGGCAGCAGGTGGCGAAAGTGAGTGTTCGTTGTCACAAGACCATTCAACACAGCGCACTGTATTATATTCACAGTACCACCTCACATCACTAATACTTCTTTTTTTAAACTATCTATTTAACTATAGGCTCCATACAAAGTATTAATTATTTTAGAAAATTGGCTTTCCCACATCTACTATCATGATTTTATTTTAGTCCTCTTTCATCCATTTGTACTTCACAGAATTCAGTCATTCTGAAATATTTATCCTCTGATTGGTTGTAATGCAGTATATAGACATAAACACTGATCACTAAATGTTTTGTTTATAATTCTGTTTCAAGAATACTTATACTTAGATAAACTAATTTGCATTTAATAATTTAGAACCATCCATTCCAGGGTACTGCATGTCCACAATAATAATTATCCACATGTTCGTCTTCATTCCATTATCACCTTTGCAAAATGATAAACACCTTTAAAAATTGGTTTATGATCAAGATTTGCAAAAGATTTCAAGTTGGTAACTACCCTCATACATCTGATGTTTCAGAATCAGAACCCAAGGGAAACCATGGAAGTGACAGTGAGGAAGAAATCAATGCAGCTGACTTTATACCTGTCAAGAGACAGACAGTAGTTGGACTGTCCACTACAAATTTACTGCTCAATGTAGTCGAACTGACCAGCGTCAAGCAGCTGGAGTATCTATTTCGTGTCCATGTTATGCTTGCCCTGATGTCCGGTCGGGCTAGTCCACATCACAAGGAATATTGCTTGCTTGCTGTTGGTTTTCTGAATCGGATTTGGCAGGTATAAAGTACAAATTAAAATATCCTAGGACGATTGATGTCATAATTTTAGTCGTGTATATCATTTGAATTTAATAATAATTATAATGATTTATAGGTGTAATTTTTCCCAACCTGACGTGAAAGTGTACTATAGCTCGTCTAAACTGGTGGTAGCCACTGTGTATGCGCTGGACTGTGGAAATCTCCCCGGTTCAATGCCCAGTGCTTCTCTCCTTGTTTTTTTAGCTGGAGGGCTGAACTGCAAGTTGCAATAGCATACTGTCTTTCGGATGATAAATTTTAGCTGCTGGTTTTGTGCATTATTATGGCCCATGTGCATGTTAAAGAACACAGTGCACTCCTTGGAAACAGTAGGGGTTTGTCTCCACCAGAAGGACCCCACTGGAAATAAATCTTCTTCAGACTTTCATGAGTTATCCATCCATCCATCTCAAAAAAGTGTAACCTTCTCTGGGTTTGGGACGTATACATACAGCAGTCGTGCAGCTGTACTGAGCGCTCAAAACTACTTCATTCAATGCCTCAACATTCTATCAGATATTCATTTATACATTTGGGTAGAGAGAGGGTAACAAGTAAAGTGCTTTGCCTAAAGACATAAGTTAAATTTACAGTGAGGATTTGAACGATGCATCAACTGTTCCCTACAAACGCTGTTGCATACTGTTCCTTAATAGAACTTGTTTTTCCTGTCAAATTAATTTAAGATTAATAACCAACATATTTCTTCCTTCGCTAAAATGTAACCATTTATTATATTTTTTCCATCTTTATAGGTTGCAGTGACCTCAGCTGGTCAAGTGGCCAAGGAAGTGACTAAAGTTGCCTCAGCAGAGCAAATAATCAGCAAGACCTCTGCTAAGGGTAAGAAAGGGAAGGAGAAAGGAAAGGATCAGGAGACACCTAAGGAGAAACCCAAAAGAAAAGGACCCATTGATGCTTTACCAAGTACCATTCAGGATTGGGCTGTGTATGAGGTTCCTGATGAGGTAGGAACATATTTATTGCAAAAATTCTAGAGGGCTCCCTCTTATGCATTATTATATCTTACATCCAAATAGAACCATACTGGTAGAATAAAATGACTGTACCAATTTACACACATCAGAAATAATGTTTGTGTATGATCCTAACCTGGGTGAAAGCCCTCCGGCCTCTTCCTTGCAATATCGATGACGATCACAAAGAAATGTTGAGGTTTGTTATATGCGTTATTGTGATTGATTCATCCAGGTAAGTATTTACAAAATACAGTAGTAGACAAATGAATATAGACTTCAATATAATCACACTATTGTCCATATTTGAATGTCTTGAAATTTTGTTTGACTCAGATATGCAACAAAGCAAACCACATTCTCATTAGCATTTTAGGATTTTTATAACGCTATTGGTAGGAGCATTGTTTACTATTACTAATTATTTTAATAGATTGTTATAATTATTCACTATATACATTGCGTATATATCCATAAGCATTAAAGGGACCTCTTGGAGCATTTATTGGTATTAATTTTAGTTTTCATGATTTGACACTTTTTATGACTAGATCCGGGAAGCCTTCAAGGATGACAACACTGGTGAAGGGGTCAACAGTGGTACAATCTTAAAGCCTGTGAGTCTTTTATGAAAGTTTTTTTTTTATTTTCTTTTTTTTTCAATATTTTGTCCCTTTATATTATTGTATTTTAGTTGATTTTTAGACAGTAATCTAATGAAATGTGATTGTTCAGATTGTTAATATCTGTTCATAAAATTATCTATTTTTTATTCATTTAGATGGTATATTATTGTTATTATAATTATTATTATTATTATTATTAAGATAATAATAATAATAATAATAATTATAATTATAATTCTAGATTTATATAGCGCAATATCAAGTACAACTTGGCTCACAAACAAATTGAACTAAAATAAAAACTTACAGTATAAGAATAGTTAGTTATATATAAATAAGATTATTATGTTGCTAGGACAAATAATAAAGAAAATAACAAAGTGTGTTGAGGTAATCAGTATCAGTATTGAAAAAATTGTATATGAATATTATATTATCAATCGTTATTCATAATATAAATTATCTGGTTTTTTTGTTTTTTTTGGTAGACGTTGACGATGTATTACATTGACCGACTTGTGGCTGAACTAAGTGACCTTAGCTATGGACATTTGACTTTTCAAGCCCTTATTTTGGGTGAGGTTATTGCTGAAGATATAGCGCAGTCTCCAATAAAGGGAACGAATTATCGTCTTCGGTGAGAAAAAAGTTACTATCATCATCATTGTCATTGTTATCAATTTTATTATCATTGAATGTAGTTTTTATTATTTATTATAAATTTGAATAATTTAAAAAGTATAATAATCTATACACATATACTTTAAAACTATTATAACGACACTATAAATGGGGCTCATGTCAGGCGTGTGCTTTAGTTTTAACTTGCAAAGACATTGCTAGGCTTAATGAATCAACCATGTTTTGGCAGGATCTACTGCCATCATCATTGTGGAGACTGCCTGCAGGAAATTTTATTTATGAGAGAATTGTGACATAAACATATTTATCTAGTAGTAGTAGTAGTAGTAGTAGTAGTAGTAGTGTGATACATTTCATATTATTTTTATTGTATGTACTTTGCAGAATTGCTGATATTTGTCTTGAGCTAAACCTTCCATCAGCTGCCACATTCCATGAGGAATCAGCCGGTCCTATTGGAATTAATGCATTAGACCAAGCAAAGTAAGACTATAGTTTGCAATTTCAGAATCCGAGGAACATTGCTTGCTTGCTGTAGTTCATTGTTTTTTACCGTAGTTAAACATATACTGTTCCCACTCAAGAAGGCCCCTTGATAATTTTTTCCTGGGGTTTAATGAAAGATTTGGAATCAAGCTGTGCTTAAGATGCTTGCCATCTAGGCATGAAATTCTGGTTTTAAGTCCTGTATACCTCCTTTAGAAGTTGCGTGCATTTCATTTTGTTGTTGAAACAATTTTTCTCATAAAAATTTCAAAATCCTGTATACCATCATGATACATGCTACCATCATGTATACAATTCCTAGATAAAATATAAGCATCATAAATATTAGTGATGCATCATCATAAAATTTCAGGTCCAGAGAATCGATCGCTCGCTGGAAAGACAAACAGATTCAAGTGAAAAAGGAACAGTTACGTGTCAGTGAATCTAAACGAGTGTTGACTGGTGACAACAACAACTCCCCTAAGAAGTCTGTCTCAAAAGCATTCATAGCTGCAGACCAAAAGGTAATCTTTTATTAAACATTAATTTCTAATTTAGTTTCTCTAAAACTGTCTGATTAAAAACAACATTAGTAAATACTCAATATTCTTGTTTGATTGACAACTTGTATGTTTCTTCAGGCTGACATTAAGCTTCCAATCCAAGGCCTTGGAAAACATCTGAGTTCAGCAACATTACGGGAAATGTGGACAGAGCAAGCCACCATCCTCCTCAAGCAGGTAACAACATTATTTTAGATGATAAGACATTTTTTTTATATCTTCATAATTTGTAATCAATCATTTATTGAATTATTTTATTCACTTTCCTGACCTATCATTATGCCATAAAGTTAATAGGACAAAAAATAAAGAATTTAATGACACTATTAGAATTTCCTCCACCCCCTAGCCTCATATTGAGACTTACAGTAGTTTAAAACATAATTTCTCAATTAATTTCATAAAATATAGATAAGTAATTTGTGTTATCTTGCTTCCAGAAGAGAATAAAACTTATTTTTAAAAAATGAAACTTCAGAAATGATAACAGATTCTCATTTTTCTCTCTCTCAAAAGGGTTATTACCAAGCAGCTCGTCACCTGTTAGATGAGGCTTACCTGGCTTCATCTGCATTTAGTGATGATGCCACAAGCACCCAAATCCTGCAGACATTAGCCCAGCTAGCCTATCAAGAGGCTAACTATGGCCAGACTCTGAATCTGCTGAAAGAAGCCCAGGTTTGTACTTGTTTAATAGCCTTCAAGCAGGAAATTCATTTTGAAAATCCATAAAGCTCTGTCCACACTATCAACTTTTCTTTGACAGAAATATATTGTATGCCCATATATAGGCATGATGTGGATATATATGGTCATGATGTCATCATGACCATATTTAGGCATGTCACATGTTTTTGTCAAATAAAATATGATGGTCTGGACAGCACTTTATGGTAAACAACTTTAAAATGTGAGATGAAGCAAACCAGGAGTCAAAGACGACAATGGTGATGGCTGTGATTAAACCAATGGTGGTGCTGCAGGATTAATTGTGGAGAAGATTGTGGTAGAGGATATGATGGGGATGGTGGTTGAGAAAAGGGTTGTGATATAATGGCTCTTGATGAAGATAATGACAATATGGTCTTCTGTTGTAGAAGCTGAATGGCGATGAGATGTTCTGGCTGGAGACATCACTCTTAATGGTGGATGCCATCCTAGGTGAAAATGAAGATCCTAAGAAGAACAATAAAGCCAGAGCCCTGCTTCTGAAGGCTCTAGCCGTGTATGAGGACCTAATCCTGCAGAGACCCAACAAAGCAAGCCTGCTAGCCAGCATCAAAGGCAAGCTTCTAGCCAAGTAAGTGTATCTCACACAAAAATGGATGCAAGCATCAAATCAGTAGTGGTGATTGGTTCATAAAAATAGCGTTTATAATCAAAAGCCGCAATCGCACTGGATTTAAAATAGGGAAATTTTTACCGAGACTGTGGGTAACATTCCAATGGGTAAACTTCCTGTCGTTCGCACTGGGATTTATCGACGTGGTTAGTTTTACCACAGGCCATGGTGAAACTAACCATTCGTACAGATACAACTATTGGGGGCGCTAAATCGTGACGTTCACTTCCGGTATGTGTGGCAAAACAATTAACGAAAGCGCGCGTAATTAGAACTGCTATATTCAAGATTGCCTCAGATTGCCTACGTTGACGCTCACGTACGACAGATCGTAACAAGCTAAACCGCCGGGTTCTCCTTCTTGTTGTGACAGTGTTTCTTTGGACTAGGCCCACATCATGTTGTATTTGTTGATAATCGCGATGGAATGTCTCACCAAGACCTATCACATTTATTAATGCTCCATATAAATCGGCCATTGAAACAAACCGAGTAAACAAGTGAAAAAAATGACAAAATTACTCAAAATCAAGACACTAGCAAACACGCGCGAAATTAATCAAGATGTTTGTGTGTGACGTTTTATTCCAGGTCACTACCTGTCTCTTATACACATCTAGATGTGTATAAGAGACAGGGACTCGGTTAAATTAACCGCGCGGCTTGGGTAAGTTTCCTGTCAGGTAAACTTCCTGTGCTGTTCGCACTGGACTAATTATGGTAAAACTAGCAAACGTGTTGGTTAGTTTTACCAAAAAAAGTCCAGTGCGATTGTGGCTAAAGTCTCTCCCAAGTCACAGGATTCTCCCAGATATTGGAAAGGCCTCCCACACTCCAGTAGGCAAGCAAGAATATTTCTTAATAAATACTCATTCTTCCTCAAACTATTTGCATACTAATACTATCTGTATTGTCAATTGTCTCCTGGAAGTTAGCACCAATGTGATCACCATGCACATAAAAATAAATTAAGATGTGTTAAGAAAGCTCATTTAAACAGATCTACTGGTAGTGAATTCTTCAAGTTCAACTTGCAATTTATTGATATAAATTAATTAATTACATGTTTTATGTATTCATTCTAAAATACTGTACATCCTGATGGATAGCAGTACATAAACAAAATTTCCTTTTTTCCATTATTTTTAGTACTTACTTGAATGATGTAAGTGCTTGTTTTTAGTACTTACTTGAATAATGTAAAGTGCTTGTTTTTAGTACTTACTTGAATAATGTAAGTGCTTGTTTTTAGTACTTACTTGAATAATGTAAGTGCTTGTTTTTAGTACTTACTTGAATAATGTAAAGTGTTTGTTTCTTCATAAAGGTTTGCCTCTCTACAAGTTGGTCATGTTTTATCTGAGAGCAGGAATACGATGGACCCCAAGGCACACAGAGAACTCCAAACAGCATGCCAGGTAAGGAGCACACTCATATCTCAATGAATGTAAGTTATAAATTGATACTGTATATCATTGATGATATTAAATGCCTGATTATATCTGAAGATCAATGGTAGTGATGAAAGTTTTGTGTTATTAAAATTTACATACATTTTATTTTTTTAAATTTTTAATATTGGTATAAAAGTCTTAAGCTTTGTCCACAGTATTACATTTTCTTTGAAAAAAAAAAAAGTATGCCCATATATAGTCATGATGTGCCTATATATGGACATGATATAATGCCATCATTACCAAATTTAAGCATGTTATGATATGTTTTGTCAATACTCTTTATTGTTTATAAATGATAATTCATATGTATTGAAAATAGCATTTAATGTATTTAATATGTCTTGTATCTCTGTGTTAAAGAGTTTACCTATGTTTTTATATACTATATTTTAATTATATGTATGATTTTAAATAAAGTAATTTTCTATATACATTCTTGTGATGGACATAAACAAATACCTCCATGCATAAACAAATATATTAATATACATGAATATCTACATGGGAAGTGGTGCCCTGATGATTGATGTAAGAAATACAGGTCTCCCTTCAAGTAAAGACCATTTTTGGGACCGGGGTTTCAATGGTCTTTAGCAGCTTTGGTCTCTAACTAGCATAATAAACAGAAAAGACATTTGTTAATTTGGGACCACAGAAAAGTGGTCTTTAATTGGAGGGGTCTTTAATTGGAGGGAGACCTGTACAATTTTAATTTACTATATATATCAAAATATTTCTTAATTCTCTGTAAACAGAAATTTGAACAGAGTGTTATGCTGCTAACAGAAACAGGATACTTGAATGAAGCAGTTGAAGTTCTACAACAACATGCTAACGTACTCCGGTAATAAGCTACTAATTATTTAATCTATAAATGTTTTTAATTGATTACCAATTAATTTGAGGGTCTTTGCAGACTACAGATTAATGATGATATTTATATGTCTGTTAATTGTATTTTTTTAATTGACTTATATAAAAACTGAAAGGTCCACCGATTAATCTCAAGATAAGAAAGTATAATACATGCTCTAAGTATTGAAATGTACACCATCGTGTTGGGATTTCAATATTTCGACATTAATTACATCATCATCAGGAAATGACGGCATCACATCATGACCATTAATAATAATTATTCAATATAATTCCTGCTGATGAAATATTAATGCCAAAAATTTTGAATCCCAACACGATGGCATGCATTTCAATACTTGGAGTATGTATTATACTTTCATAGACTTATATAAAGTAAGTAATTAATTGTGTTTAATTGAATAGGTTTTTTAGCTCAGTTAAATAAGTATATATTTATATAATATGAACAGTAAAGAGGGACATACAGTATTCATATAGAAAAATGTGTAAACACAAACATATATATGCCTACTAATTTGTGTGTAAGTTGATCTGCCATAACTGTTTTTGATTTTGTGTTTATCATTGTTGTTTTGTTTTCAAAGGTTGTTTGTGTGTGATAGCACTGATCTAGATATACAGCACAGCTACCTACTCCAAGCATACAACCTTTTAGAAAAAGCTGTTAGACTGACCAATGAAAGAATGGAAGATGCACTAGGCATGTCGCCCACACAGCAGGTATGTGAACAACAATATGTCATTCTCATCCTGGTATTGTTGGATGATTTAGCCCTACTGCAAGCTGAGCAACATAACCAAATGGCAGCTTCTCAAAAATTCTTTTGGAAGTTATAGTCAAACAAGAATTCAGATTGTAACCACCACACTTTTTGTAGGTCTTGTGTTACCCATTCGTAAATTATTTCTTTAGATGCGTGGTGTTGTGTTACCCATTCAGAGGCAAGCGTGCGCCATCAAGAATGCCTTGGTGGAGCTTCTCATTGACATATTCGTAATCCACGCTGATGAAGCCCGCAAGCATAAAACAACCGAAGCACGAAAACCTTCAGTAATAAAGGTATGTATATCTTTACAGTTATGTACTGGAAGAAAAATATTATTAGATTTCTACTGAATTTACAGCTGCCATTCCTTACATGATAATTTTTTTTTTAAATTTATTTATTCGGTATAACAATTTCACCTCAATCCCAGAGGGCAAACCTGTGAGTTTACATAAACATTAAATATTTAACAAAATATCATATTACAGAATTACAAGAAGATACAACTCACTAAAACAGTACTCAAAATATAAATTACAAAAAAAATATTTAACATTGTATCATCATATTGACATTCATTTATATTATTTATAATTCCAAATATTCAATTACTATTTACAATTTAAGTATCATATTATTGATTCCCAGTAATATTTAACATTAAAATAAATGAAGTATGTCTATATAAACAAATTAAATTAAAACTATTAACATTAATTATTATTATTTACAATTGCATGTTTTTAAATGTTATTATTAATATTACAACTTACAATTAAGATGTCATATTTACATACATTAATCATTAGTTTACATACATTAATTATTTATTATTTATTGAAATAATTAAAAAAAACTATGAAATTAACATACAGGTTCAATAAAAGGGTCAGAACAAAGGATCAAGCATGCTATCCAAAAAGTAAAATAGAATTGAATGGAATTTCTCTTTGATGAGATTAAAAGTTGTCTGTAATTCAGTTTTAAGTAGAGTCTCCTTGGGTCTTAGCTCAATGATGAATTTTCTTCATCCTGTTAGTATAAACATACTGAATATGATTGGCTGTTAAAATGTACTTTTCTAATACAGTATGTCCTGAATATTAAGACCAGCCCATATTCATATGCCCCTTTAAGCATTATGTAAGTCTAGCAAGTACCTTATTAATCATTATTAATTAAAATTATTATAATTGTTTCATTGTATTGCATACTATGAAAATTTATTGATGGAAGCTATCTATATTTCCTTTATTTCAGCTTGTGGAAACATACATCGCAGAATCTCCAACACTGACAGACACAGAGATGAAATGGCAGACACTCACTGAGTAAGCAACTATTAGTTACTTGGTTTACTTGGTTAATAGGATTTCGAGCTAAAAATCTTATGTTTCCTTCCAATATTCTGTTTCCTGGAATAATATACGGGTAGAAGCAGTTTTGATGCATAAACCATGTTTTCTCGAGGATCCTCTTGCATTGATTAAGGTTTTGGGCCTGGACAGCGGTCTCAGGTAGACTATTCCAATCGTTCACAACTCTGAGAAAATAGTATTTTAGGCTGTACATTTTAAAAATAGATTAGATACTGATTATGCTGACATATTTTGAAATTGATAGTTACGTGTATAATTGCTTTATTATTTTAAATGTTAAGCAAGTTTATATTATGAAATGAAATGTTTTAACAATTAACGAAATTAAAAATTTGAGTGCTATTTCTGAGCAAGTGGACGTGTAAATTTTACAAAATTTTCAAACCGAGGCCCCAACCATGGTGGGGCTGACGTTATTGGATCAATAAATGCTTCCACTGCCCCTGTTAAGTTGGTTAAAGTTAAATGAAAAATGTATTGTTATTAATTTTGATTATTTGTATTAATGTAGACAACTTGCAACAAAGGCTCTGATGGAACTAACAGCTGCTCACAGCCTTGCTGGTCCAATCCAGGAATTGAGGGCAAAGGTATAGTGTATAGTGCATTCAATTGTATATTAATGATGTATATTGAGGCGGTTATTATGGAGCACTCACAAATTTAACTCATATTTATAACTTAATATTAGGCTCTTGAATGCTTCCTTCAAGCAAGCTGAAAAATGTATTAACTAGTGTATATATGATTAGAGCTAGCTAAATTTTAAACTGTAGACCACTTATAAAGATCCTCCCATTATGTAAAACATTATTTTAATTTTGTTGTGTGCTTTATTGTAGACTTTGTACAACCTCGGTCGGTGCTTGCGCATCATGGCTGTCCACAATGCACCTGATTCACCAAACCTGTGGGACGTACAGCTTATGGTAGGTTGATAATTAAATTAATTCTTGTTGAAATGTAGTCTTTGCTTCATAGTTTTAATCATGGCGACTTTTTTAAAATATTAACTTTGAATATTCAAATGCTATAAAATCAAAAGAATAGTTCTGTTGAACCCAAGCAGGGGCGGATCCAGAAATGTCCAAAAGGGGGGGGGGCCGGAAGTGGGGCCGAAAGTTGGGCCGATTGAGACAACACTGTCGTAGGGGGTCCGGGGGCATGCCCCCGCGAAATTTTTGTGTTCTAGACGCCCGAACATAACATTTGAGGCATTCTTGGCCATCATTTTTTTCTTTTTCTCTCTTTTTTTCCCCTTTTTTTTTTCTTTTTTTTCCTCCCAAAAGGGGGGGCCGGGGCCGGGCCGGCCCCCCCCTAAATCCGCCCCTGCCAAGTGTAGGGATTTTTGGAATTCAGAGTCTGTCAGCAACTTTTTTGTAAACAATTGGCCTGGGCTCAATTCTAAGGGTTATCACTCATGCCATGTCTTTTGGTTGATAAGAAAATCCAGGATACAGTATAAAATTTATTATTTTAAGGCTTGAAAATTGTTTTTTGAAACATCGTACAAGTACTTGGTCCTCCCTTTCGGATAAAGAAAAAACCTTTTTGCATAAAAACTAATCTTGATTTCCAAGATTTTTGGTTGGTCCTGGCTGGGCAGCAAAAACTATTTTTGCCTAATTGGAAATGATGTTGATACTGCAGCTTTGTTATAGCTTGTGAATATGCAAAATATTATATGAATATTGATGGCGTAACAATGGTGTAACAGTTAATTGGAACCTAATGATATGATATTTATTCTTTCTTCAGGGATTTGGTAACAATGAAACTACTCCATCAGTGAAAGAAGATGGGGAGGCTGAGGTCGAGGCGCTAGAAAATGAAGTAGAGTCAACGACTTCAAAAGAGTCAATTAAACTAGCAAAATTGGCAAAACATGCACAGGTAAAGAATGATTAATGATTTTCAAATCTGTCAATCATTTCCTCTCCATATCCATCATTATCTCTTCCCCAAGTTTTGCTTTTCAACTTTCTTGCCACTTCACGATTTCCTGCACATACTCCATACTTTCCACAGGTTTTTATCATTGACCATAATTGCTGAAAGTCTGAACCAAGTACATCACTTAAGAAAAACAAAATTCTTCACAATTTGTTGACTAATGTTAGATATGTTTAAATAAAGGTGAGATTATAACATCTTTCTGTTATATTTTGCTAGGCTGAGCAGAGTACCTCATTGAGTTATCTGGCACAGGCTTCAGAAGCACTTGGTCAGTGTGTTCAGCTAGCCCTTAAGGAACAATTGATAGTAAGTAGCCTTGAAAAATGAAAATATTTAAACTACTATAAATGTACTGAACTATGGCCAAAAAAATGTTGAATATTAATATTGTAACAATCCGTATCTCACTCATAGACTACCTTGCCAACATCACTGCTGAATGTGTATATTGATAAAGCAGCCCATACCTTAATTTATGTGGATCCCATTGGAAATAAGTTTTTTTTCTTTTTTTTTTACTTTCTGGGTTATCCTGGTTTCATATTTTAATGTTCTCTGTTTTTTTTTTTTTGTAATCTTATCTATATTGTGTTGTATATAGAAACCAAATAAAAAAAAAAACAAATTTGAACAACTTAGTAAAGTATATCTGTCCATCATTGCCATCATTGTTCAAATATAAACATCCTGAATTCTTCCATATTTGAATTTACTGTGTTTACTGTGCATAGAGCCACCAATTAATATCCACTGTTATCTTTCAGGATCTAGTAGCAGGTGCATCCTTGGAGATGGTGGAGTGTTGCGGTCAGTACGACCCACTGACATCATCATTGTACCTCGCTCTATACCAGGTGTGTATCAAACTATTCTATATTTGTATTTGTCAATTACTTGTTACTTGTTCCATTCATTTTTTTTTTCTTTTCTGTTGTTCTGGAGAGCGCATCTAGAGACGAATATTATATGCGCTATACAAGTGCACAATTATTGATTGAACTTTTATTGACCATGAGAATGGCTGACATATACACAGTCATAGAGAGAGATCTTTTTTTTATTTTAATTTTCTTTTTTATAAGTGAATACCAAAGTGGGGCCCTTAACAGGTACTCTCCTCCTGCGTCAGGAGTATCCGGGACTCATCGTTGGCCAGGGGCATTCATTTCCCTAATCAGGTCAAGTCTTGCTTAGTGCAAGACAATCTATGTGACAATCAAATTTTCTACATTAATAATTAACACAATAAAAAGCAGCTACATTTTAGTGTTCTCCCAACCATGTAACTCGTTGGTTAGCCTGTTTGAGCTTGGAACACCCACACAATATAATTATAATTAAGTGATGTCACATGTCCTTTTAGAGCTGCCAATGTTCCATTGTCATGAAGGATGTCTTGGAGCATTGTCAACAGGATCCTAGCACCTCTCAACAAGCTGCCCTGCTTCACCAGAGACGGAAGCTGTTGTCTGATAACCTTACCAGCAACCAATTCAGAGGAAACCTCATGAAGTCAGTGGACAAGAAATTGATGGAAGTTTCAGAGGTACTGCATCTCTTCAAATATGTTGTTTCATGCAAACAAAAACAGAACAAATATACACATTTAATTATAATGAAAGTTGCAAAATTAACACATCTAGATGTGTATAAGAGACAGGGCGTGAACTGAATCAGGTCTAAAACAAAAGCCATCAAAATGAGTCATACAGATAGGAAGCCTATTCTGTATACGGATGGAATATAGCAAAATACATGAAATAAAATATAATATATATAGTATAGGCCTATAATAAAAAATCTGCAGTAAATAACATATCATAATCTAAAAGCAGTGAAACTAACATTAATGCCAGCAGGATGTAACGTACCTAATTTATAGATGATTCTCTGTTCTAATTCTTTCCTAGAGAAATCAGATCCTTTACATAAACTAACACCAGTAATTTGTATATCGTCAGTATTATGATTATGAGAAAAATGAGAAGCTACTGGTAAACCAGGCATACGTAAGCGTATAGATCTAAGGTGCTCCGTAGAACGATCAGCAATGCGACGTTTGGTCTCTCCTATGTATATCAAGTTGCATTTATTACAAATTATGCCGTAAATAACATTAGTAGATATACAACTAAAAGAGTCCGTAATAACATGGTATCCCGAAGGTCCCTTAAGTAGATCAAGTGATACAACGTGTTTACATGTCTTACACCTCGGTCGATGGCAAGGAGTAGTCGAACCTTTAGGTCTTTCAAAAATAGGTTGAAGTGAAGAATGTACAAATGATTCACGGATACTGGCATCACGACGATAGGCACATAGTGGAGGAAGCTGAAATATCTCACTAGTAGATGATTGAGTGTATTTTTATGGGCATGATGATATCATATTACACCCATATGGCTTTAGCTGTATAAATACCAACATATTATTATTTTTATTACCATATTATTATTATTGTTATTATTATTATTATCTGAACTTTGATCTATCAGGCTTGGAAGCGATTGAAAATTAATCCTAATCACCTAGAACTGTTCAAAGACTTACCTGCTAATTTCAACCTCCTCATTCTCCAGCATTCAGAAGATCGGTAAGTAATATTTTGTAATTTTTTCGCCAACTTGATAACAGCCATAATGGCGTATATGTTTTCAAATAGTATTGCATGTTATTAAAGTATTATGTTATATTTTGGAATTTGTATTTATGATGGTGTAAGTTGAATTTGTGAATATTTTGATAAACCCTCATATGCAAAGTTTTCTTTGGTTTTTGGGGGAACCTGTTCAAAAAAATAAAGGAATATGATTTTTAATGTATATTATACAGTTACACAAATTCTATTTACAATAAATATTTTTATTCTTACTATTTGTTAGCCCTTCTTTGCACTGTTGTTGTTGGTAGATTGAAATTATTAAAAAAGTAAATTGTAAACACTTAAAAAATCTGTTTTGCAAGTATAAATAATATGTTTATTCCAAAATTTGCTATAAATTGTAGATCAATTTTGTATGGATCTCTACTGGATAAACCTAAACAGTCTGGCGCCAAAGAAGGCAAAACAAAGGGTGGGCCAGCCCCATTGTCCAAGGCCTGTGTTACTCGCACACTAGTTGATCCTGAGGCCTTGGATGGCCTCCTGCAACGCTTCAAACAGCACAAGTTCAATGTGATGCAAGCACTGTTGAAGGCCGAGTACCGCAGATCACAACAAGTACAGAGGAACAAGATGTTGGAGAACCTGGCTGAGAATGTCCGCCATGATTTGAAGGTCAGTGGAGTTACTATTATGGGATTAAATTTTTCTACTAACATAGAAGAGATTTAGTGAATGTGTATTTCATGGGTATGTAATCAATTACTACTAGAGTAAAAAATATGCATAAAGGTGTTTACATTGTTGGTGTTATAATTATATCATCATATAATAATATCATTATTGTGATTGTTTTTATTATTTTTATTTATTATTATCACTATTGTTAATACCTGTACCTGTATTATAATGGTGAATATTGTTATTAGGAATTATGTTTTGCCTGACATGTTATCATACTGAATGCTAAGTATGTTCCCAAATACTTGCAAAAAAAATCCTTGATCCAGGTTGGAATTGAACCCATGCCCTCAAGATAACTAGCCTGGTGTGATAACCACTAGACCACCAAACTTGTGCTTAGTGGCTAGTGTTCAATCCGATCCTCAAGTAGCAGTGAGTACTGCAATACTATTTTGATACAATATTATTTTAATATTATTTGCATTGTTAGTATTATTTTTGGTTGTGTTTTAGGATCTGTCAGGTGAAAATGAATTAGAAGAACAAGAACTTCAAGATGAGTTTAGCAACCTTGTACGTGCCATGCAAGATTATTTACGACCAATCACAACTGCTATGGAACCAGCCTTCAGGTAAACTTGTACTTTTTTGATAAAACTATACATAGTTGTAAAATTATAATAGCAATGCCATAATCATACTTTTTCTTGTCTCAGCCCAACCATAGTGGGGCTGACATGGTGTAGACCCTCTATTTGGGAAATTCCCTCCCTGGGCTCTCTCTATTTTAAATTCCTTGATCTGCCACTGCTTGTACGGATAAAATGTAAAGCAAAGGTTCTAAGCAATACCTATATTGTTCATCAAAGCCATAATATTATATTAATGAAATTCATTCATGATAATCATCATTCTGAATAAAGTTATGAATGCTTAATATTATTTGTATTCATGATTTATCTAAATTATAAATTCCTTTAGAATGATTCATTTCTCTTAATATTTACTGTTTACCAACATTATCATATAATATTAACTTTGTTTTTATATACAGTTTTGAATTAACTACAGTAATGATTTAACTGTAACTAATTCTTTTATACAGAGCTCTTGACAACAGTAGCTCAGGTGCACAATCTGTGCAAGACGAGTATGTAGTGATTCTAGCCGATAAGTGGCTAATGGAACTCCCTCTGGAAGCGCTTCCGTTGTTGGCGTCGCCATCCATCTTTTCCCTTTCCAGGGATTTCTCATTCCAAATGCTGTACAACAGAATGCACCAGGAACCTGATAGTAAATTTGTGTTATTTATTAGGCCAAAAAAAAACAAATACTAGTTTCTTGTCCCCTCATGCATCCATTTTCCCTGCCTCACCAAATTCATTATTTATTTTATTTTATTTATTTTACAAAATGTACTAAAATGTGGCTTGTACGAAATGTACGAAAAAAAACTCACATCAGTAAATTCCTCTCTCGATCGTTGGTGGTTGGGGATACATATGGTATGAATCATGTCTAGTGCTTCTTTTATTTGTTTTCTCTGTGTCTACTTGGAAAAGGTGGGAAAATAGTAGCTGTTTCCCATCGACCATCTTGGAGTAAAAAAACTTTCAAAAGTGCCCTAATTCTAATATTTTTTCAAAATATTAGGACGAGAAACTACTTTTTTTTTTTAACTTGGCCTTATATATCATTTAGTAAACTCAACACATGATTAGTATTTAATGCAAAAGTATACATATTGCAGTTGTTCAATGTATTATTGCTTTGTCTTGCTTGCACCATTTCTTTTGCATTTTCAATTTTTCTTTTGTATTTTCATCTGTTTATGATAGATATTCAAATACATAGATATCTTGTTTATATTCACTATATTTGATGTTTTTATTATTATTATTTTTATTATTATTATTATTATTATTATTATTTTAAGGTGAGGAACAACCAGATGAAAAGAAGAAAAAGGAAGCTGCCAAAGCCAAGCTTGCAAAAGAGAAAAACAAGTCTGTTAAAATAGTAAGTTTTCCGTGTTATAAAATTATTTGATACAAGTGTCTTTATACAGTAGACCCCCTCTTTAAAACACCCCTATTAATGGTTGCCCTATTAGTGGCACACTATTTTGGCCATGAATCAAGGAAGAATATTTCTTGTTCACACAAACCCCAATCAGTGGCGTTGCCAGCTGGGGAACAGGGGGGCTTAAGCCTCCTGTCGGACAAGTCAAGCTCCCCACCGACTGAGCTCGTCAGGCAGTCGGACTAAAAATGATTTAAAAAAAGGCCTACATCAAACCAAAACATATATTTCATAGTCATAGAGTGCCATTTCTGGGCATCCAGATGTTCTTGTTTTTAGAAATCTCATTCGGACACCCCTCCCAAATCCTGGCCCACCTCCCCTCCCCCTCTTCTCTTCAGAGAGTATCCTAGAGCTTAGAGATTAAGGGGACACTATTTTTTGGTCCCAAAGGTGTTCCCTTTATATGGGGTCTACTGTGTACAAAGCTACATGTGTATAGCTCCAATAAATGCAAACATTTTTGTTTACTAAATCTGGTATGTGAGCAATTGGTTTATACATGCATGGATATCTATATGTGATATATTTGAATTTTGTTGATGCTTGGATATAATTGCAGATATTTGGTTTAGCTACACACCCAACATTTCTAAATAGATTTTCCAAGTTGTATCATCATCATCATAAAATATACTGTATTTGACCATGGTAATCTATTCCTAGTTAATTCCTAGTTAATTTAGTGTTAATTTAATGTGACAGCTATTTAATCAAAATAATTTGTGTTTCTCACTTTCTTCCTTTATAGCTTCCACTTGAGAGGCAGGTGCCACCTCACTGTTGTGGTGTTGACACCCATAAATTCAAATGTATCCTTTCATGTGATGGTTCATTATACATTGTGTTTGTATTATTATTTTTTTTAACTTTTTTTTTTAACCATGAGAAAAGGTTTGGGTATAGTCAAAGATGTACATAATGATGATGATGATGATGGTGGGTGTGGTAGTGATGATGATGATGATGATCGGTTGCTAAACCTTTATTAACTGTGGTTCCCAAAAAAATCATAAAAATATGATGACAATTATGATGACAATCAGGGTCAGTTATCAGTATAGGGAACGTGGCAAGTTGCCCCCCCCCCCACTTGCCCAATTTCAATGCATATCAGTGTTGCTCATTTATCTATTCCGAAACTGTTGTTCCCCTGTTAATTCCCTGAATAAAATGTGACTAGTACATAAAGAAAGTCTTGGTGTGCTCAATAATGATCATGGGTATTAATGATGATGATATTTTATATATAATTGCAATATTTCTGATTTCTTTTCCTTAATAGTTTTAGATGTAATTGACCCCCACAATGATTGCTCACAGACAGACAACGAAGATGAGAAACCAATAAACATAATGACACAGACTCTCAACAATTACCAAGTGCAGTTCACAGCTCGCTGGGAAGGAATTATGGGTATTGACCATGTCCCGAGGTAATCATATGATGTTGATTTGTTCATTCAGAGTTGAAATATTGGCTTATTATTATTATTATAATTATATTATCTATTTACCAACATATAGCATAGGGCCTAGATACATTATAGGGATAGATTATAAGAATAGATTACATATGAATTAATTCTGTGTCCACCAGCCCTAGAACGATTTCATTTGGTGCAGTTTTTTACCTTGGTAATCGGATCTCCAATCAAAGGTACTGAAGGCTATGATAGGGCCTAGATTGCCCATCAAGCAACGCATTATTTTAAAAATGTTACTCTTGACATACAAAGCCATAAACGATTGTGCTTTGGCATATATCTGTGAAGTCATCTCATTCTCCACCAACTTAGCTCTCCGTTCATCTAACCTACTCCTACTGAAACCTGGACCACGCATTAAGACATCTTTATGTGGGGACAGGGGTTTTTCTGTTGCAGTTCCAAAACCCTGGAACAGTCTTCCATATGAAATCTGTGCATCAACATCTGTATGCATTTTCAAAAGAAAACTCAAAACGCATCCTTTCTTTTGATTGTTTACAGTACTGGGATTCAAAGTGCTTGAAACTAACTGTCTTTTGCACTATAAAAATGTTATTTATTATTATTATTTATAACCGTCTCTATTTCAAATTTGTAATACAAACTCATAGTACCTTCATTATCTACTTTACAGATAATGAAATTACATTTGGAATAACATTGCTAATTTTGAAACTTACCTTTACCTTTGCAACCACTCCTTTTAATTTGACCCCTGTGATTTTATGTGTTTTTTGTAATTTTCAATTTCTATGACTGTTTTGTTAAAATTTGTCTGGTGTTTTTTTAATTAATGTACAATTTTAAACATTGTAACTATCGTTTTTTCAATGTGAATTTTGTTTATACACGTTTATTTGTATGTTGCCTAGAAATGATAAATGAACATTTTTTTTTTTGCATTCATAGTATTGGTGAGTGGGAGACCTATATGTCTGAAAACTCTGCATTTATTTTCTATGGAATGGAGAGATTCTTCTCCCACATTCATCCATCAAAAGTGATTCCAAGGAATATGTCTGGTAAGAAGGATAAACAATTGACAATAATATCTAAATAAATAAAAATATTGGCGATGATGACTTTGGTGATGGTGAGATTAGTGAAGATGGCAGTTGTGGATGATGATGATGGTAGTGGTGATGATAAAAAAAACAGTGATGACAAGCCAAGGAACTAGTATAAGATTACATAAATGATTATTCCAATATTTCTGTAAAAACAAATATATTACATAATTTGTTTTTGATAATTGTGGTCATGTATTTTTTTGCTTCCTAGAGTGCAAATTAGCCATTTTGCTGGATCTTGTTCAGACTAGTAAGAGTTTCTTACGTCAGTCAAAGATTGATGTGATCAAAACGTAAGCATGATTGCTTTTAATGAATGACAGATGACAGTCCGTTCATAGTATATATTTGTGTTTCATAGAATTGTACTTTTTAATCAGTGGTGGATGCATGGTCCCCCTCCCAGATAAAAGTTTCAAAATTATAATAAAATGAAGGGAAGGGGAAGATTTCAACCAAATTCAGGCCATTTCCTGCCATCTAGAGGTGCCATAATGAAACATTACCTCATCCCCCACATTTTTCTACCTCAGCACCAACCATAGTGGGGTAGAGGTGGTGTAGGCTTTCCATTTGTCAAACTCCCCCTTGGCCCTCTGTGGATCTTAATTATGAAATTCTATCAAAATAATCATCTTTACTGTCAAAATATTATATTTGTATCATCATCTGCACCAACAAGTTCATCAGGCTTATTTAACAGCATCCATTAAGAACATCAATCCTCACTATCCCCATCTTAACACTCTCTCACAATTCTCACCCTCCCATTCATCCTTCAATAATTTCACCCTAAAAATATTCACCCTCATCCCTATTCATCTCTACAGGTCACTATCCTCCTATCGTTGCATCTCCATTTACTGCTACACACTCATACCTCTGTAAACTTCATCCTTATGTAATTGCCAACCCCCTGCCCCTTATGTAATTGCCACCGTTGTCTGCCCCTCACACAACCCCCTCCCCCCATATCACCATCCTACAGTAGCTATCACTTTGAGGATCCTTGTGTAAAAATGCCATATTCTTCTAACCCTTAGCCATAATGATCTGAAACATGAGAAACCTGTTGAGGTGGCAATGCTGATGAGTATGACTGGTATAGGGTCTTTAGTTGTCAATCAGTGGCACTGTGCACTTAAGGACAATGCTGCAACATTTAACACCCTGATGAAAGGTGAGTTAAAGACAATGCTGCCACCATGTTTATGTACAGTCTGTCCTGATTTGCATACAGTATACAAGTTAATCAGATTGTTTAGAGTTACATAATTTCTGTGCCTTCTTTTATCTTTTATTTATCATCCAATTATTTCAGCTTTGCTCGAAACAGGACGAACATCAGGCCAGACAATCCGGCGTATGTTTATTCCGCATTGGCGACCTGAAGGGGAAGTGGAAGATGAAGAAGGGGAAGGGGAGGATCGTGAAGATGGATCAAGTGCTAAAGCTTGTGGGTCAGAAGCAAAAAATGGTAAAAATGACAAAAAGCCAAAAGGTTCAGCTAAGAACAAATCTGAAAAGGTGGGGAGTAAAGAAATTGTAGATAGTAAACCAGAGGAGGAAGTAAATACAGAGGAGATAATGAGTCGACATTGGTTTAATGTTGTCTGCTATGGCTTACCGAATGTAATGGTTGTCCAAATGTAGCAGACAACATTAGTTTAATGTCTTCTGCTATGGCTTACCGAATGTAATGGTTGTCCATGATGTAGCAGACAACATTGGTTTAATGTCTTCTGCTATGGCTTACTGAATGTAATGGTTGTCCATGATGTAGCAGACAACATTGGTTAAATGTTGTCTGCTATGGCTTACCGAGTGTAATGGTTGTCCAGATGTAGCAGACAACATTGGCTTAATGTTGTCTACTATGGTTTATCAAATGTAATGGTTATCCACATGTAGCAGACAACATTGGTTAAATGTTGTCTGCTATGGCTTACCGAGTGTAATGGTTGTCCAGATGTAGCAGACAACATTGGCTTAATGTTTGTCTACTATGGTTTATCAAATGTAATGGTTATCCACATGTAGAAGACAACATTGGTTAAATGATGTCTGCTATGGACTTACCAGATGTAATAGTTGAACAGATAGCAAATAACACGTCTACTATGGCTTATTGAATGTAAAAGTTATCCAGATATAGCAGACAACATTGGTTTGTGTATTGAATGCAAAGGCTGCTCAGATGTAGCAGAAGATGCAGTGGTTTAGCAGATGATTAAAACATTGTAGCATACTTCATATCTATTATAGGAATATGATATATACAGTACCTTTTATTGGTTAAAAAATGATCTGCAGACTAGCTTAATTAAGTGTGGATTTCTATCTTTCAGAATTGTTATAGCTACACATACAATAATTATTAAATCTTTCAAAAAAAAGTGTTATTTTCTTCTTATATTACAAAATTAAAGAAAAGTAGTAACATTCCTAATCTTTTATTTTAGGTTTCTGTTTTACTATAAAGCCAAATCATTCTTTTCAAATCAATCAATTACATAGGCATTGATGAAAGTGTAATTAATATATTTATATGAACTTTTAGGAAGAAATATTTTATAATCCTTAAAAAAATTAAATACAGTTATTAATTAATTTAAGATTATTTACATTAATCTATCAGAAGCCATATGAAATTATAAGAAAATTCATTAAAAAAAAGAGACATGATATATTGCATTGTGTTACTGTTGTGTTGCTGTTTTACATATATGAATAAATATTTGAAATTTGTTTGTTGTAGTTTAACGTAATCCTGTGTGGAATCAAAGATACATAGCAGCCCTATGCCAACATTTAAATAATAGGCACTTTTCAATTTTCACGTCAACATAGTCAACGTCTTGACATGATGTCATTTTCAAGCACTGCACAATCGTCAACCCCTCGCTCGCTACCAGATTTGAGGACGCGTCCACCCCGGTCTTCGCCGTCAACCTAAATCTACTCGCCCCATTGACTGTATGACGTCATTTTTTCAAGATGACTCGCCGACTTGCACTTTGGCAAATCTCCAATTTCAAAATGAGGATATTTTATTCTGGACAGATGAGGGCTCCCTGGACAGTATCTTTCCAACTTCCTCTTCTTACTCTACTTCTCTTTTCCTTTTCCCGACAATTTGCACTTTTACACGTTTTCATGTGAGTTAGCAAGAAGCCCATCCTGCTAATCTCAATCGACAGGCAGATGGCCTACAAGCTTGAATTTATACACCACCACCTCTAATTTCATCTGCTGTTCTCACAGATTTTTTGTCACAAGCCATGCTCTCTGGACGATTATTTTTTCTGCACCAGAACCAGTCGTAATCGGTTTTCGGATGTTCAGTATTTTTTTCATTCAAAAATCGCCCTGTCACGCCAAAATTGGTCCACGCCAAAAATGGTCCGGCGGACAAATTTTGTTTGGCCGCCAAAGTCGGTCTGCTGTACTACTTCTGGCCGCTAAAATGGTATCCGATCATTTCGGTCGCGCCTTCATTTCGGTCGCGGTATTTTCGTTATGCATTTCGGTCGCGGTGTATGGCGCGCACACGGTGCGACCGCAAATCTGGAACAAGGGAGTTAGCAGTATAGTATTTTATAAACACAAAACTTACATAAAACATTAGTTGACTAACAACTATTTGTATTACTGTACTATAATATTATAGTTTATCATTAATATTAATATTATGTGTATCATTTGGTGTTAATTTTTCTTACAGAAAAAACGAAAATGTTACAAAGTCGACTTGGTTTGAGACAAGCTTCTCTTTAACGTTTGTTGCGATGTATATTTTATTAATGCATAAATTGAATGGAGATTTATGAAATAAATATAGTCAATAGATTAGTTTTTCATACATTTGTTTTCTTGTCTGTTACGTTTCCATTTATCTTGAATGTTCTGATCATGTTTATAATTTGATAAATGAACATACTGAATGATATATGATGAGTGAAAATGAAGGAAAATACATAGTATTTTCATATTTATTTTCCACATAAATTTTCAATATATTTATAATTAAACACCGTACATTTTAATGGCCCATTTCAGGCTTCTTTTATATTCATAAGCCCGACAAAATGACTCTTTCTAGTCCTATTCTATAGTTGCGCTAGAATTTAATTTCCCACAAACTAGATTCCCATAGTACTCTTGAGGTGAAGCAGCACAAGGTTTGTATTTTCTTGTTTGTTTTAATTTTTTTCCCATTTCGTATATAAATTTTCTGATGTTTATAAAATACATAGTAAAATTAAGCAGTTTTAATATATTATTTTAAATACAGTACCGTACATGTTAATAGCCATTCCACGGATTCGGTCTTCGGGGCGGGTTTCTTCTAAAGCTAGAAAAATTTACTACTTCGAGGCCTCCTGTACTAGATGCCTGGTAACTAACCATAAAATCGGAAAGAAACTTTCCCCACAACCAAGGTTCCCACGGTGCTTATGAGGGTGAGAAGGCATATTCTTTGTACGCCGCCTTCAGGAATGTGAACGGATTACACTGCAAAGACAGAAGTAGGTTAGATGCTAAAATAGATACTAGCTATTTTTAACTGGTCATGGCAGTGGCATTGAAGGTGTTCAAGTGCGTTCACCTACTTCATGTCACCATTAACTTCGAGTCATCAATCTGATGATCATATTTATAAAAAACAAAAATACATGAATTTTAAAGTACTATAGTTTAAACTGAATGTACAAATACATGAATATTCTGATATAAAAGTACAGTATATTAGATTAAACAAATTAAATCATAATCGTAACAACATTCCTAGGCCTTTATTATGAATAATTCAGAAACTGATAAATACAAATATTTACTTTACTTTTCACTTCTGAATCTGAAAGACTCAGAAGAAAATGAACACACTAAAATTATATTTAAATTACTTGTAATTAAAAACAATCGTAAAAAACTTAAACAACAATCATACTAAAAAAAAATAAAAAGAATATTAGGCCTATGATAGTCAAGCATCGTAAAGAAAAGGACAAAATAAATAAAATTATTACCCAGTCTGAAACACACGCACCAAAAAAACTTTAAAAATTACTTTCTAAACATAAAGCACTAGTGCGTACATCGGCGTTCCATACTGAGGCTGTTTATCGCGACCGAAATGAAGGCGCGACCGAAATTATCTGTAGTCGTATCCGCTAAAATCGGTCCCCTTGGATAAAGTTGGTCCGTCGGCCTGGCGGCTCGCGTCCACTGCCCGTAGGGTATGATTGTTTCTCTCGTGAAGTGGAGGGAAGATGCTTCTCCCACACTTGAAAAATCTTTTGCAGTGACAGAATGATTCGTATTTAGCTTTTGTTGATCCGGGTGGACCCCGTTGTGGATGTACCGTACTCGCGCGAATAAGCGCCCCGTTTGAATAAACGCTCCTCTCGAATAACCGCCCCGAATAACCGTGAAAATTTCCTTAAGCGCCCCGTTTGAATAAGCGCCCCCTCATAAGATTTTCTTTTTAGCAAGTCAATAATCCAATCAATCATGGGACTGTGGTTGTTGGCATGATTTGAGCTGTAGAGTGGAAACACATTCTTCTTCTGTCAATATCAAAATAAGGATATTTCTCTTGGACAGATGAGAGCTCCGATCCCTGGACAGACAGTATATTTCCATCTTTAAACTTTTTACATATTAGTCTATGTCTAGTCCTACTCCTCTTTTTCTTTTTTCGACCTTAAGCACATTCTCATCTGAGAAAAATACAATGATTCTGCCATCCTGCTAATCTGAATCGGCTGATGGCCAACAAGCTAACCACTACCCACCACTAATTTGCATCTGCTATTTTGCTGTTATGTAAATATTCACGCATTCTTGTTATGAGCCATGTTCTCTGGAGGATTATCTTTTCTAACCACCATTCGTAATGTCCTTATATAATCTTTTTTTTATTCATTCAAAAAATGCCTCTTGAATTTTTAATTATTAAAATAATTTCTTATAAGAACCCCTCGATTTTATCTATTTCCATAAGCGCCCCATCAATTTCCACTTTGTTTTCATAAGCGCCCCGTTTAAATAAGCGCCCATTTGAATAAGCGCCCCTCAGAAAGTGCAAAAAATATTTTAGGCGCCCGGGCGCTTATTCGCGCGAGTACGGTATTTTACCAAACACACATGATAATGCCTAAGCGACACACATCGGAATTTTCGGCGGCCGTGCTTGGCCTAGGTTTTTTTAGCCTAAAATGAAACACAAGTCTGATTTATTAGCTTTAAATATTCCATATTATTGTGTGTAGTATTAGGTCATACAATAGTTCTATTACATGAAAATAAAAGGGGTAATTTTTTTTTTTTTTTAATGGTTGCTCATTATTCTACCATTTCGTTGCGGCGTTAACCATGCACAAAACAAGGCCAAAAATAAACTAAAGCGGACTAACACGATTTACGATCATATTGTTTAAGTTCTTTTTTAACTTTACACCTAAGAGTTTACTGGGCGCGAAGAGCGAAAATAACATACTGATTTTTGTGGCTGGCTGTAAACTCAATTGCACCCACAACGCATGAAAAAATATTATATACTATGAGATATTTATCTATCATTTGGTTAAAAACAAATTTGAAAAACGCTAAAAAATACAGGTTATAACTACTAAATAGTTGCCGGACCGATTTTGGCTTATGTGACTACATTCGGCAGGTAGGCCTAATTTTAAAGCCAAAATCGGTCCGGCGGACCGATTTTGGTCCCCGGACCAAATTTTTCCTGACAGCCCATTCAATTTTACAAGTTCCCAGAGGAACCCCTCAATTTTCATATTATAATTATTTACATAAGCGCCCTCTCAATTCCACTCTGTTTTCATAAGCGCCTCGTTTGATTAAGCGCCCCCCAAAAATGGCAAAAAAATATTTTAATCGCCTGGGCGCTTATTCGCGCGAGTACGGTATACTAGATTATCTAGCTAATAAGGAAAAGACCTAGTTCAAGGCCGTAGCCCACGTGAGCTAACCTGCTGCCCACGTTTTTACACGGTACAAACAAAAAAAACATCACAATTTTGTTTTTACATAATTATGCAGGAGATATTTGCGCCAGGCATGGGCCAACAGAGTATTTACGCTTATACTGATAGTAACATTATTATATTTATTTATTTTAATAAACCAGATGCAAACGTGTCCTATGGGAATGATCATGGAGGTATTATAAATACTCCTTGGAATGATAAATTCACTTTCATAACCATTGATGCATTCATTATGGGAAATGGTGTCAACCAAGGAGGCATTATTATATTTCTTGTTAAAGCGTCCATGGAATTATACGCACTAGTGTACATTAGGCCTACGACTTGTTTATTTGCAAATGATACGTTCGACATTAATGTCGATATGTGTTTTTTGAGGTGTTATAAATTGATTTGGTATGTGTTCTCGTTTGATTCTGGAGTATAGTATTTTTGGCCTGTCGTTGGGCTATGTAGACACCTTGAGCATAAAATAATTACATTCCAACATCAAACGATTCTATAATTCACTAGAGCAATACAATGGTCATCATAGATGCATTTTCCAAATGTACAATTTTAGTTGACATTAATCCGGAAAGATCCGCTTCACTTGCTCCTATAAATACGGCGACCGCATTAGTAATTGTACCAGTAGAACGCTGACTTACCACAAGCTTGCTAGGCCATCTGCTTTATTTCCTCACTGCCTAGGCCTAAGATAGAGAAAGACAACATGCCTATATGTTGCCTAGAAGAAATTGAATACCAATACATAGGCCTACGTTCAAAGGTGTTGTCGGTATTGGAAGGTCTAAATGCCAGGGTACCCAGTGAAGAAGTAAACGACGTAATGACCAGAATTCGTAAGCTGACGCAATTTCAGAATACTCCTAATACGATTACTACTGTCGATGAAAAATTTATGGAAAATAAATTATTCAAAATGCAGACTCTACACAATGTACGTAAGTTTTCCACAGGCATACTACTGATGAAACCTCAAGATAAATTTAATTGGAACAAAAAAAATTTCAACCTTGAAATTATACCGGGAGACCAGGAAATTGAAGGCGACCAAAAAATTGAATGCCAGAAGGAAATTGAAGGCGACCAGAAAATTGAAAGCTACCAGGAAATTGAACTACAAAATGCCGCAAAAACGTACTTAGAGGGGAATTACAATTATGATAACCCAGACACTAAGCAACGACGGGTAATACAGATAACGAATGTTATAGATATATGTTACGATATAACTATTTCCAAGATTGTTGTACTAGCACTGAAGGATCACCAAGGCATCTTGTGTGAAAAGGATATATTGACCATTACATCGCTAGTTGCTTTGCTAATAATCTTGGTGAACTTATTAAAAGAGAAATATCAGGTACAACATACTTATAAGGGTAAGATTTATCTACCTGCAGAAAGCAAAAAAAAACAAAAAAAAAAACAAGTAAAAACAGAACCAGAGCAGTTGCTGTGTCCATTCTCTGTACACAGGGTGTACCCAATAATGCCACAAGAATTGAAAGAGGCATTAGTATCAAAATTACAAAAATGTGATGAAAATTATGTACCAACTTCGTCGGTGTTTGAAGAAGTCTTTTCAATGACTAAAATACGTATTACCGATAAAGGTGAAATGGATCAAAGATATAGAAGTACCAAAATAATTGCTAAATTGACCGGGTTTTCGCCGAATGCACGGATTACACCATACACATTATCAAAGTTTGTACCACATCTTGCTACTAAAATACAAAGTGTTAACAAGGAAGCTCAAGATAATTTTTTCAGAATTTTGCAGGTCTTAGAAATATTACCCACAGAGTACCAAGTTGGAGACGGGTA